AATAAAGAGAAACATTTTCTTTCCTGATCAAGCCTACATGGATGCCATTAAAGACAGGTAATAATGAAGTCCAGGCATCCAGAGAGCCGTGTCCAAGAACTGGCCTAGGAGTGCTGACTTATGAAGTGGTGAAGGTGTGTAGAGAAAGCAAGACAGAGAAATGAGAAATCTCTGGAAATGCCAAATCCTGTGCCATCTGTGGCTAAGCTGTGGCAAAAGGATGCCCTTCCCTACTAAATGTTACTTTACCATTAAAGCAATATCACGTTGCCTTGGCCTACCTTCTCCTTTGAAAGCTTCATCAGACAAACAAGTTAGCCTGACTTCTTTCAGATGTGTTAAGGGCAATGAGAGCTACTGGTTTAGTAATAAACCAGTTTCTGTGTCTAAATACAGACCCTCAGTGGCAAGGAGAGTGGCTGCTTAATTTCTCTTCATAGTCTGTGATGCCACTGGCAGGGCAATGACGTTTGTGGTGAGAAGTTCAGTGGTGGAGCCACTGGGCTGAGTAAAGACAGAGAAAACATCCACAAAACACATTGAAATGTTTATTGTTTCATGTATCCACGATGCAATGAAGACACATCTTTGGGGAGATCTGTGGTGCTTTCTGCATGGACAGACTGGAAGTTTTCCTGGGGACCCTGTGCCCCACATAYCTGTGTTYTGTGAGCTGTTTCAAAGCAGCCTCAGTAGARCCCTGGGTGATRTWTGCAGYRATTGCAGCTATTCCTGGTGGTGATRTGGCAGGTCTGGAGCACAGGACAGYCCCTGTTCTCTGRGCATGGCTTGTGCTGGGGCTGGCAGGGAGTGAACAACTGAGGATGATGCTGAAAGTTCCCCTTCAAAACCAGCCTCAGTRGTTTTTTACACATAACAAAGGAACACTGGAACATTTTACTGTATCAGCTGAAAAGAAGCATACAGCAGAGATAAAAATRTGACAGTCTGTGCATTTAGGAGAATAAGAGAGACTATCAAAAAGGATATGGGAATTTAGGGAAGCCTGMAATGCTTTAAGACATTGCAAGAAGGCCCTCACTGTTATCTTCTGTGTAAGAGCAAGATCAAACTACAGCATTGAAAGCAGCCTAGGCAAACCTAACTTGTGAGGGATCACATCGAGGAGCAGACCAGCTAGCTTGAACTTAAAGAAAACACCTTTGAGTTTGGTGGTTTGGTTTCTTTTTTTTAATGAATAAAAGATGGGCTAGAAGAAATACCTTAATCACTCCTTRAGCTGAGAGTGTAGTTTTTACACCTTTATAGATGAGGGAATAGACGAAATGGCAATGTGTTTCAGAGTTTTCCAAAGGGAAAAAGGACTTTTTTTTTTCTAAGTCAGCCCTGTGTATTTTGAAGGGAGTACTCATGTCTTCTTCCAAAAAAGTTGCAACGGTCACAGAAGAAAAAATTTTCTCCACTTCCTGGCATTATTCAGCTCCTGAATGGGCAAGAAGCTGTTTCATCCAGTTCAGCTTCTTCCTGGCTATTATTTCTGTGTTTGTTCAGGTACTTCTTGAGTCCATTTTCCAGCTACACTCCTATGGACAATTTTCTGCTGACTGCTCTGTTGGCCCACACAGGCAGGTGATGCTGTGCTKAGGGGGGACTGCCCTTCAAGTGAGAGCTGCACCAAAGATTTCAGAGTCTGAGGAAGGAGTTAATGAGTGGCCAACAGTAACAAGTGAAGTAATTTACTCCATTAAAGAAAGAGAGGATTTTATGCTGTGCGTGCCAGTAACAGTGAGAGAGACAGACACCATGGCAACAAGCTTGTCAGGCAGGAGCAGGGCACTACTTTAACTATCGCTGGGGACATCATTAGTGGTGGGGAAACTTCAAAAGCTCTGGAATTTGGRTTCCTTTTTGCACCCAGAATCTCACCTGCTTTAATGGAATTTGAATCTCCAGTCTATAAGCTTAGCCTGGGATARCAGTAATAGCAGACTGGGATGTTGGATACATCCCAAATAACATGGAAAGGAAGAATGTGTATCCTGAAACAATATCTCAGTGCTTCCAGGCCTGCCAGTTTGTCTGAATGGTATGAAAAGGAAGAATGAAAACATACCATTGAGCCAGGTTTCAGCAGGATTGTCTGAAATAAAGATTGAAAAGGAATTTGTAAAGGAGTGCTCCTTCTGTGCTTACTCATAAGCCATGGATCTGATCATTAGCCTGCACTGATGGAGAKATCTCCCTGTAAATCTCCCATTCTGGCAGGATGAACAGGTGACACATAATTGCACACATGAGGTTGATTCTTTTTATTCTCCTAGCTCATAAGCAGAATCCCAAACACCTGTGATTGTCTTGTTCACCATGCACACTTTTGATGGGCTTGCAAAGCTGGAGTCAGATGGGGTAGGATTTATACCCACAGAAAGTTCCTCTATAGGCAGCCACAAAGCAATTAGTGCACAAGGCATTTGGAACTCTGAATGTGGTCTAATGTGAGCCTCATTTTACTAGAGCAATGTACAGAGTTCAAGTTTCCAGTTCATGAGTCTGCAGTGCAGAGAAAAACATTTCTATGGGCAAGTGGAGAGAGAAAGGAAAGATCTGAAGAGCTGTGGCAGTTTCTGTGGGAGTCTCTTCAGCCCCACTGTATCTATAAAGTGCTGAGAATGCCACACAGCAGAGTGACAGGGAATGGATCATAAATTCATGACCCTTTGTGTCTTGCCTGCATTATAATTCCCCTTGACTGAGCTACTCAAATCTAAGGAGAGCTGCAGCTCCAAAAATGAAGCCCAGCCAGTGTGCGGAGTGTGAGAGTGCAGACAGTCCAGGTGCCCAAGCCCTGGCTCAGCTCACCATGCCCCACTGCTTCCACAGGAGCTGCTGCAGGCATTTTAGTCAAAAGCTATTTTAACCCCACCAGGACTAACTGGGAGAACTGAGGAGTGCGGACATTTGCTCAGCTTGCAGGACAGAGAAGGAAAATCAGGTGGACATTAATCATCTTTTTGCAGATGTGTCAAGTAAAAAGGAGAAGCACATTCAATCCCATCAAAAGGCTTATTTTTGAGCAGTTGTTCTCTAAGACCTGATAGCCAAGTGCTGTGCTMAAAGAACCAAATGAAAGAGGAGGTGGCTGCTCTGGAGCTGCCTGCTTCCCAAAGATAAAGGAAGATGGAGTGCAGCACTCTGCCCATCCTGCGCAGGAGGGTGAGAGCCATTGAGATAACTGCGAGAATTATTGCGATGGGGGCATCTGGCTTGATGTAAAAGGAGAAGAAGTGGGAGCATGCAATGGATTTCTGCATATGTTTGAGTTTTCCCAGTCCTGTGGAGAGAGGCCTCTCTGACCATAATTGGAGCGAACTCATGAATAGMGTGTGTGAGCAGAAAGCAAATCTGAAGCTGCAAGCAGCCAGCTCRCCCTGCTGCACGGTTAGCGGGAGATGTGTTGCATATGCAAGATGYAGGGCAGGGAAGGACACGTTCATCCTACTGAGCAGGCACGGCATTCACCAGAAGTTTCTGGTGGTTTTGGAGAGCTCAGCTTGCCCCAGATAGCTCTGTCTTCCAGGCGAGTGGAGGTGCAATGGTGTCTCTTGTTGGTCAGCAGGCAAATATCTGCCATGACAAACTGGTGGCAACCTGTGACAGCTGCACACAGGCCAGTGATATGTGCAGAGGGACAGTGGGGGAAAGCCTGCGGGTCCTACTCCAGCTGCTTTTATCCTGCAACCCAAACCAAGTATTTCTTTCTYTTTTACTGGGAGAGGACATCAATAAGAAAGGCAGAGTGACACACTGACACAGGTCGTACATCCCTTTTAGCCAGACAGCTGTGGCCAGCAGCACGAAGAAATGCTGGCAGGTGTCAGGTGTCGGTGTGGGGTTTGTCATGATGGGAACCAAACAACATCTTTCTTCCTGCCCAAAGAAAGAGCTGAGGAACCAGCAGGGGTGGAGAAAGGCCTCTCTCAAACACACCACTGAAGAGAGAGAGGGACAGAGTCTTGGCCCACGTCTGCCTTGGGGACACAGATGTCACCCTGCACTCCTTYTGCTCCTGAGGAGAAGTGTCAAAGACATGTCACTCACTGTGACATGCATGGCCTTGCCAGATCTGCWAGTTCCAGAAATATTTTCTGATTGCTAACACAGACTACTAGATTACCTTGCCTGCATTGTTATGATATTACTCCTTATAATACCGTGATATTTAATATAGAGAGCTTTTTTTAGGAGCACAAATGTTTTACAAGTTCTTAGAAAAGYATAGCACTGTGAGCCAGTGCAAAGTTTAAGACACCTGACACTAGTTAGCTTCAGTTTCTTCTTTAAATCACAGTCCACATTAGCACATCCCTGGCATACTCAGACTCCTAGATACCCTTCACATGCATTTTTTGTTCCTTGCCTGTGTGAGCTTCTGAGCTGCAGTCACTCACTAAGCTAAAGCTCCAAATCCCATCTCTGGGCATGCATATGGACAAGCATTCATAGGAGAAGATCTCAGCTGAAATAACTGCAGAAAATTGCATGACCTTCCATTCTCTCTCCTCCTCCTGGAGGACTGAGCCGAGGCTTGTGGAGGAGTCACATTTCCCTGATTCCCAGTTCATCCTCGGGGCTGTGTCTGTGCCCAAATCCTCTGCRCTCTCAGCAGCTCATCATCTGCCTCCGAGCTCCTCACCCCCAGCTTCTGCAGACACTTGGCACAGCCAAAGTGCACAATTGTCTGGATGGGAGGCTGCCAGGGCAGCAACAAAAATTTTGCCCACTCTTGAGCATGGAGTAAAACATATGCTGGATGTTGCAGGCAATGGGGATCCYTTCCAGGATTTTGAATGCTGCTGAACTTTGCTGCACAGTCAGAAGTCAAACCAAAGCCACCTGGGTCCTTCTGTGCTAAGTCAAAATTGATGAGCTTACAGCATGACACAGAGCAATACTCTTCAGGCAGGAAAAGTAAAGGAGGTCAGTCTTGGGTTTGTTTATTTGTTTGTTTAAGAATGCATTTCTTTTATAACTGACAGGAGATCATTTTTATTGGCTTAAAGTAACTTGCCAGGAATRAAAACAAGCTTCTCTTTCTGTTTTTCACAACAAGGAGATGCCAAACAAGAGGTTTCATGCYCAGAAGAGCCTCAGAGGTCTCTGCTGAATTGATTGACCATCAGCCACTGTGGGAGAAACAGAACAAGGAGTAAGGGCATCTGCAAGGTCTACAGGATGCCACTGGGGCACTCTGCCGTGCTCTGGGAGAACAAGCCAGGAAAGGCTGGAGATGCATTTTAATCTCTTGGACGTGTAGGATCCAGCTGCTCTGGAACTCCGGGGAAATCTATTGCCAGGATCAGCCTCAAACATTGCAAGTGGGKTCTCTTCCAAAGGAAGATGAGTTGTACAGGGCAAGCTGGAGAAAACTTCAACTTTCAACCTTGAAAAACTCAAAGGTAGGAGGAGGCAATGTAGAATTTCAGCTAGATTTAACTAACTGCGACTGAGGGTCACAGGGCTTCCTAGCCATCCTCCTCCCTTCAAGCCAGTTTTCAGCTGAGAGGACTAATTGGATGGACCTCTTGGGGCTCCTTCCAGCTGTTTCCTGAGATATATTTGTATTCTGCAAATGGAAGGCTCAAGCTGATTGCTTTTACAGCAGCTTCAACGGGAAAAATTTGCATTAAAAACAATGTGGGGAAAAAAAGACCTGGCAACTTAAAAGGTTTCTTCTAATTCTGGCAGGTTGATCAGTATGTTCTCTGCCAGACAAGAAGAGYTCCCTGCTGTGTGTTTTCTAATGAATTGACCACTGCCCTCTAAAAAGAGATAGTGAAATGCACTGTGTAAGCATCTTCTCAGTCAGCCTCAGGAGTTTGGAAGGTATCTTTACTTTTTTGCTCATATAAAGGTAAAAGTTCATTCTGCTAATTCAGACAGGCCTTCTGGGCTGAAGAACATTTTCACATAAACAAACCTGCCCTTTGAATCACTACCATGTTTCTCTTATAATAATGATTAAATCAGTTATAATAGTGATTTTAAATAAATGTGTAGTCCACTGCTAAATTTAAGTGTAGTCAACTGCTGCAGTTTGATCAGTTGGTATTTTAATCTGACCAGCCTTACCTCAGGCAGAGARATCTGGATGTCTCCAATCTTGTCTTTGTCCAGGAGATGGAACACTTCKGAAATGTAGAAGAGTGGGGAAAAAAAACTGGATATAAACCACAGAGTTTGGCATGTAGAGAATCGCTGTCTGACAAAATGTAATGGTCTGGCTTTTTGCCATGATCTACTGGAAATTTAGACTGGTTCTGTAAGATAACATTATAGCTGTTCTTCTTTCTTCTTACAAATAATTTCTAGAGCTGCTTCATGGGGCGGAATAGATCTACAGCAGTGAAATGGGAATTGGCAGCAGGACAACTATAAAATCTGATGCTGTGGCATCTGGCATGGTCTGGGGACAAACCTGTAAATCAGGTCGGAGCAGGACTGGGAGTGATAAATGGTCCCATTTGTCGGAGCTGGGACAATGTGAGGCCAGAGCACTGACCATGAGTTGCTGATGACTTATGGTGAAACACAAGAGAATGGTGTGTTATGGAAACATATCCCCAACTCCCCATGGTCATTCAGACAGAAAGGCTTTAGCTATTTCTCTGCTGATTTCTCCAACAGACRCATATTTGCTGGCACCCTGACCTTTCCATTCAATTTGCTATGCTCGCAGCTAAAAGACACCTAAGGACACCCCAAAGCTCTCAGGAATCGCCCCTGGGCACTCATTGAACAGGGTCTCCAGGTGGATCATTCAAGCCACAAAGCCATCAAAGTCCATGGTCAGCCTGGTGCTGCAGGCGTAGTGCGTGACAATGCTGTGCTGCACCTCATTGTGGAGCCTGAAACCTGAGGGCAAGRAGAGCACAGGAGTCACTGACACAGCAGGGGAACATGCTGGGGTGTGATTTACCCATGGACTGCTGCAGCTGCAGGCTGAAGGACAGGACTGTTCCTCACAGAAGGTATGTTGGACTCCCAYACCCACCTCTGTGAGTCCTCTCCCAAGCCCATTGAGCTGGGTGAAGACAGGCATAGGGTTCTCCCCCAGCATTTTGTCAGAGTGCGTATTTCACATTGTTTCACAGCAGAACCAGCCCTATGTTCCCCAGATAAACCCCTAATTAGTGAGTCTTGGCACTGCAGCTGAATAGCAGTGATTGCAGCAGAGCCAATTGCTCACATAACACATTGGGCTCTATTCAGGCCCATATTCATGCTATTTCTGTCTCTGGATCATTCACATAAAATCCACTGAGCACAAGACAAATCAAAAACACAGAGCTTCTCTAGATGGCCCTTAGCTGGCAAGCTCTGCTCCAAAAGTGATCACATCAGAGAGAACATCGTTGGGGCATGCCTTAATCAGGCTTGCACCTTCTCTAGAGGAGAGAAAGGTGGTGAGGGAAATGAAGGAWAAAGAGGGTTTGGGCATAGCTCTGAAAGAGGACAATTAGATTAGGAAATAATGAGGACAAAAATAGAGCAATAATCAGATGGATAAGCAACGGCCACAGCATGGACAAAAGCACCAGTGGTTCATAACACAGAACAGAGGATGGGGTTTGATTTGACAGCAAAAGAGGCAGCAGTGTGTGACAGTCAGGAAGGGAGAATGGCACTGGCAATGCTGTAATCTAGGTGACAGGAGGGAAGAAAAGCCATTAAAATGCTTCACTGTTCTCCCCATGATGGGTAGTGCGATGGTGCTCCCGTGCAGCACACTCACCTGCCTCTCTGAGGGCATTCCACATCCCGTGGCAGTCCATGATGCCGGAGAAGTCGCTGTCCACTTTCTTACAGATTGCCTGTGGCTGAGGCGGGGAGACAATGGAGAGGGCACTTCAGTGTGTGCCCCTGCAACAATGCTGTGGGGTGGGCACAGGGAGGCAGCTGGGCTAGCGCAGCTGGGCCACAGCAGCCGTGGGAACACGGCAACACCGTTCTCATCAGGGCTAGAAGCCAGAMTGAGCTACTCAGAGGGCTCCTTCAGGGTTTAACCTTGGTTTGCTGGCACACTCTGCAGCCCACGCCCTGCCACCCTCCCTGCTCACAYAGTAATCAGTGCCAGGACAATCATTCCTACCTCTGCCACGTTCACACTGTCACTGCTGTGCCCACTGATGGCTGGGACAGGGACTGCCCCTACCAGCACGAGTTCCTACCCTTTGAAACATTAATGAGCAAGGGAAACATTTCAAGCAGCTACTGGCAAGCCAGGCAGAGTGGGAAAYACATTCCCATGGGCAGGCAGCTTGCCTGCCTTCATATCACATGGTGGCAGACAGGCCATTGAGGAAAATATCCTATCATTTGGCAAACACTGCAACAGACCCAGTCCACCATGCTTAACGTTTCAGACAAGCTGACAGATGCTTCCTACTGACAGCAGACTCATTATTCAAATTTAGAAGCCACCCAGACCTACAGCTAATACTGGATTTGGGTCTCAGGGCTTGCTTTTCTGACAAGACTTAGGACAGAGCTGGACCTTCAGAACCCAACAGTTCTYCATGAAACYCCAGGAGAGATGCTYTGTGCTGARCAAGATCAAGTATTGGGGCAGAAGTCTTGCCTAAAAGGGCTGTGGTCACAGCCWGAAGGTCCAAATCTGACCTTCTTYTKGASTGTTTGATTCTGGGCCAACTTCTCRGGRTGTTAAATCGGCTGCCAGAAAAAAAAWTCRGCTCTTCTGCAAGATTTCAAAAACACAAAGCCAGGTTTTTGAAGGTCCTAAAAATATGTTTCTTGTGTTTGCTTATGCTCAGCCAGCAATGCAACATATTGCAACAGCCGAGATRTGTTCATATGAGCTTTAATAGAGCAGGCAGCAGAGAGAGCTGTCTTTGCCAATAATCAAAGAAAGTTAATCTGTCTTTCCATAAGGTATTGCAAATTATAGAGAGTGCTGGGGCCAAGGTGAAAGAGGATTTGCTTTTGCCCTGTTGAGTGAAAGGTGTTTCAGAGCCCTGGAACAAACTCCAGCCATGAGAAGGAAAGCTTCCAAGCATATCTGCCTGTGAGGGTTTAACTCTGTCTCGGTTTTGGATTTGCACTTGGGAGCTGAGAGGGGAGGGAAGGGGAGACAGCCAGAAATGTTATGTTACCAAATACTTCTGAATCTTCATCCAAAGTGTCTTGAATTCTACAAGTCCCAAAGTGCTGGTCCCATCCGTCTGGGCCATGTTAAGGCACGGTTCAAAAATCAGGATTCCTTCATCCTGAACGAAACTGGAGAGCAATCAGTTYTGATAAAAACAAATCACCCATCACAGCATCATCTTCATGCCAGTTTAGTTCTCATTTGTAATGCATCTCCATCTCCCACTGACATGCCCACAGCTTTGCATTTGCTTGGCTAAAGGCATGCCAAGAATTTCTAGGCTATCTTCACWCTCAAGGAATGATATATGGGATTGCTAAATATGTAAGCATGATTAAAACCACTCACATTTTGTACACTTAGCAGCAGATTACAGTCCTTAGGGAAAAAAGGGGTCTGGCCTTGCAGCAGGCTGTTGTTAGAAAGCAGAGGCAGGAACTGCAAGTGAAGAGAGAGTCAGTAGCAGTCTACAGAGTATTCTCCCRTGTCCTCCAGGGCCTGAACATCCCTTCTGATGGAAAATCATGCAGATTTGGATAACCTGACACTGTGCCTACTGAATTATTCCATTAGGCTTRGGAGCCTGTGGAGTGTAGGGCAATGGCACCACTTCTCTTGACAGCCAGCTATCCACAAGATCCACAGTGAATCGCTGCTGGCATCAGTATGACAATGTCACAACACCAACACCAGTGAGACCCTGGCAGCACAGCTCTTGGCCCTCCCAGTGCAAAGGATCACTGGGTGGAGGTATTGACCTCTGCTTTTCCCTTGGCTCTCAAACCTGGGCAGAGGTGTTGACCTCTCTTTCCCTTGGCTACTCAAACCTTATTAGCTCCCAAGTGTCCTCCCTGCTGTGCAGAAGGGAGGGGACACAGCCTGTGCTTGCAGCTTCTCCCTGGGAACAGGCTCAGCCTGTCTGTCTGCTGCTGTGAGCTCAGTGCTCTGCAAGCAGGACCCAGCTCAGAGGCAGCAGCTGAGGATGTGCTGTAAGCCTGCATCCTGCCAGGCACGCTGAGAGTGCACCTGGAGCTGCACAGGTGCAGCCAGGCAGAAGAGCCCTGCTTCTCCCCTACATTTAGGAAAAAGTTTAAGCAATGACAGATGCAGTGCAGGTGAGAGAAGCAGTTGATGATTAAATGGTTCAGGTTTCTGCCACCCTGAACTGATAGAGATGCTTGGCTGAATTTTTTACCCCAAGCCATGTGCCTGGTCCATTGAACTGTAAACTTAGTCCAGCTTGTCAGGAAGTTTTGCTGAAAGTTCCCAGAATCTTTAAAGGTGATGAAATTACATTCAAAGGATACATCTAAAAGGCTGATYATCTCGCTGCAAGTGTTGATGTTGAATCCATCACTTTTAACATCCTTTCCTGTACAAAAAGAAAATATAAAAATCCAAGTCAGAAATACTTTAAGACAAATATTTTTCTGCAGACAATGTTGGAAGTGTCAGCCACCTTAAAATCTCAGTAGCAAGGTAAATGCTCTGCCATTTATTCCCCTATTTGGTTAACATGGTGGGTTTTTTTTTTTCCACAGCAGGAGGGGATGTTGCTGGTTTCGGTGGTGATAAGCCTCTATGCGTCCACAGAAGTCATGCAGCAGCATCATAACATTACCCATGGTCATCCTCCTAGAAAAGCACAGGGAACATTGTGCCTCTGCAGAACATCTGCTGGCAGCATTTGAAAGGGAAACACCAGGTAGTATTTCCACCCCAGCCATATATAGAGGTTGAACAAGCCAGGAGAAACTCAGCTGGGACCAGACACAAACTCATTTTTTCATCAGCCTTAGCTGGCAGAGTTGGGTTTTATTAGCACAGATCCCATTCTCAGCTCCATCCAATGGGAAGTACATAACGTCACTTATTCTTCACCAAAACCYGGTTTAGGATCCTTTGAAGTTCAGTCGCAGTCACCTCACAGTCCTGGACAGAAAACAAAACATATTTTAGGGGTTAACACAAAAATTATTTGAAACAAGCTATTTTCACTCGCTGCTAGACATCCAGACACTATTTCCCTTCTATATCTAAGGCATGTAAACTGTCAATTTTTTTCTAACCCTTCATATTTACCCTCAGATATCCTAGGGAGAAGAACTTCAAAAGCAACCAAATTTCCTAGACATTTAGGTGGGAAATAAGGGAGTTTTTAGGTGCTATGGTGACATGACCCAGTAAATGGCAACTTTTAAAAAGGTTTGACTGAATAAAAACATTCAGGAAAACTTTTGAGRTTTTCAAGGCTTATGGAAACTACAACCAAACAATCCTAAAATTGCCSTCTCAAAACTCAGAAAGGTTTTCCTTACTAAAAAGATTTTTTCCCTCTCCCATAGCAGCRTCCACCTGTCCATTAAAATGAAATTTGATGTGACAGCCACAGGCTAACRCAGCGGGGCTTTGTAGGTACTATTTTTCAAATACATTAAGTAGAGAAAAAGTCCAGCCAACAGTTTTCCAATGTTTTGTTTCCAGCCCCAGTTTTCCTGGGGCTAAACAAAAAAGGAAGGAATTGGCCAGCCAAGCAATTGTCAGAATTATACGATAACTCCACAGGTAATTTATTTCACCCTGGGATAATATTTTCACAGTCCTCACTCCTATCATCCCTATTTTCAAAGTTATTCGGTGCCCGGCATTACCAAGGGGAAAAAAAAAAAATCACATTTTTCACCAATAAGAGGAACAATGYAGAAAATCTTCTCTATTGTACAATAAATTGAACTGAAGCTGTGAGTTAATAAAAAGGGAGAMATACTTGGTTTTTTGAACAGACAGTAAAAGGAATCGGCAAGTCAAATATTTGTATAATCATAACAGAGAGGTCTCGGTCTTTTTTGTTCACTTTAATCCACTTACCTCTCCAGAGAGCTTTTGGAACAGAGTCTTGAACTCATCATCTATATCTTTGTTATCGACATGAGGCTAGAGGAAAGTGATCTCCAAAAGAGTGGTTAACAAGGCAGTTCTGGAAAGCGAGCAGTGGGTATTGCAAAGATGCTTTACAGGGGCTTATTTACAGCAACAGGAAATGAGCACTTGCTCTGCAGCAGCAGCAAAACAGAGGCACTGCTGAAGTCACCACCAGCCAGGGGCTGGCTTAGTTTGAGAGCAAATACTTCCTAAGGCTGATGAGAAAGTTTTCTTCTGTTATCAAGATAATTTTACAAAAGAGCCACAGTGATAATGTTGCTGCACTTGGCCAGAAAAAATTAAGCAGTTCCTTGGAATTTTTTGCAGCTCCTCCCAGCTTTAAGAAGACTATTTTTTTCTATGGAAATGTGCCTGCTCCACCTTCTCCTGCCTATGCTGGAGGGAAGSACAATCAAATGTCTTCCAGCTCAGTCCACAAGGGTGAAGTTTCTGTGCCACGTGGCCCAGGTACATGAAAATGAATGTGAAACTAAGACATGGGTATATGTAAAAAATCCCCACAAACAAAAAATATTTCTCCTGAGCACACAATTATTCTSTCATCCCAGCTCAGGTGAGGATAAAAAGTCTTACCCTTATTTTACTCCAACATTATGAAGGAAAACTCCACTCAGTTAGGGCATCTGACCTCAGATGGATTTGCAGACACCTCATCACCCATCATCCTAAGGAANAAAAAAAAAAAAATAAAAAAAAAAGAAGCTGTTTGACAAGAAGGTGTTAATGAATGCACAGAACCACAGAACAAGCCCCCATGTTTCCTGCTTCCCATGCTCTCCATCCCACCTCTGCCTGCCCCAGCTCTTCAACTCTTTGAAGATATTTCCCATGGGAAATTCAGACTTGTTGTTCTCCTCTTCCATCCAGACTCCTTCTTTTTCCATCCAATGGCTGCTATTGATACAACTGTTTTTAAAACCACCTTCCTCCCCATCATACTTCAAATCCACTCATTGCTGTGGAAGCAAATGCTTTGTGGAAATGGCCCTGTTTTGCAGGTAAAGGCAAAATATCAAGCACAGGGTGTGGGTGCCAGATCTGACCTTTGCCTGTGTGTGCCTCCCCAGCAGCAGGGAGGCTTTCAGGGAAGCTACTCACTGTGATTTACCTGTTTCTCAGCAAAAACTCCTAATTGCATARGATTTGTAGCCTCTGATTTCTTTAAAGAGACAGAAAGGAACAGTAAGCAGGACAAAGTAGCAGTCACAAGGGTGAGAATTTTGGGGCCACATTAGGTGATTTACCCAACTTCTATTAGCAATACTAAGGATATTCATTTGGATTTGGTGGAAAACATTACTTAATTTTTCCCTAATACCAATACACTCTTTAGGAAATTAAACATCGTACAGTTCATAAAACACTGACACAAGAAGGAACAGTAGTGTAAGAACAACATCCCTGCTATAAAACTACTATTCATGACTTTTGCATCACAAAGATGTCTTTCAAAAAGTGTGATTCAGTGACACACAAAAAGTGCTGTGTGGCTGATGCAGGATGGGAAGCATTGCTTAGGGATAAGGTTTCTGTCTGTCTAAGACCAGAGCACACAAAGATCTTATCAAACATTGTATAATGATTGTTTTTCTGTTGCAAGCAATGRAAAAATGTGTTTGTTTTTCCTCTTTTGTTCTGAGACAAGACTGAATTTGGTATTTATTGAACAGCCCTATCCTTTCCCCTCACTCACYATTAAGCTAAGTGGAACTGCAAAGATTAAGAGGACAGATCTATATCTTCTCCAATACATAAAGTTCATTTTCCCTTTGCATTTGCAAGGCTGCTAAAAKAACACAGTTAATTGCTACATGGCCACACATTCATTTACTGAGAGAGGAAAAGGGCTGAAAAGCCAAGGAAAAAAYTGGCAGCACAGGCTGCTGGACCTCAGTAATGAGTCTAGGCTATTCCTACTGCCAGACACCCCTGGGGTCTCTTTCTTCAGCAATGAAAAGTCTTTGCCTCAGTATTGACATCTGGGGGGATTAGGGAACRCTGAGTGGAGCTTGTTCATTACCAGGAGCCCCAGCTCAGAACTGTGAAAGGAATGGGTCTGCAGAGCTTGGCATTTCTTCTAGACAATATTAGCTACATTTTCTCACTTTTAGAGTGCAGAGATCCTGTTCTGCCTTCACCTGAATTAAACAGCCAAATTCTGACCTCAGTTGTACAAACTTAGTGGAAGCCAAGTTTCAACAAGTATAAATGAGGTCAAGACTGGGAGTTAGACATTTGTAATAAATCCTTGTGCCTCAGTCCCTTGAAAATGGTTATTCAGAACTGGAGATATTGGTCCAGGGATCCAAGAACAGAGCTCTCCAGAAGAGATATCATTAGCAAGGAATAAATCTTCCTGGTAGCTAAATTCTCCAGTGCAAGAGGAGGTGCCCATCTGGAGGGGCAGAGACTACATACCTCCTGAGAAATCTGAAAGGAAGGGAAAGAGACAATGTTAAAGGGCTGCCTGCATTCACTACTAAGGGGGGGGAAAGCAGATAAAGCCTCCTTCAGAGGCTTTTTTCTTTAATTTTCATTTACAACCACATATAATAGTATATAAGATGCCCATGAAATTCTATCTTGTCCTAGAGCTGTTTCAAAGGAAAAACTGAATCTTCATCAAGAAAAATCTGGAAAATATCTAATTGTTTTTTTGCCCTGATATGTCATTGTGAATTACAGTGTTGAAGTTAGCCCCACTTTGCTAACCAAAACCAGAGACCGAAAGTCCTACTACGACTGAATATGGTGAAGTCACCCTGGGGGTGATGTGGTTGTTGTGAAGCAATTATAAGAAGTAGCAGGTTTCAAGATTTGGCCCTTCCTAAATTAATTAAATTACTATGTTAACTTGTACCTCCAAATATAAGGTGGCTTTTCCAAAAGCAATGAGCTGTCTCGAGAGCACAGATTCCAGTGAGAGCCAAAGAGAGTGTCCTCTCAAGTCCCAAAAGAGSTCTTAAAAATATCCTCCATGCAAYGATTCTGGAGCCTGAGTGGCCCCTTGAGACCTCAGATGTGGCTCTCTGTAAGCAGCATGCTGGAAGCCGAGAGCTGGGTGATGGACACACCGTTGCTGTCAGCAGGCAGCTGCGTGACTAACAGGAGCTCTGCAGGGCAGGTGGACAGACTGAGCACAGATCTTTCCACCTCCTCCTGCAGAGAGGCTGCTTCAGGTCATCATTTCTGCTGTCCTAACTGGAGAACCCCAGCCCCAGCATCAGCTGCGATGAAGTAAACCCAGTGGTGACCTAAGGAGCTGGGAGCATAGCTGGGTGCCTACTGAGATGAATTAGCAGCCAGATTTTGCCAAAAAATTTACATCTTAAGAGACACTTTAGTGACCTAAGATTCTCTAAGTCCACACTATTATGGGTAAGACTCCAGAAGACACAGAAGGGATAGAACAGATGTGAAGCACAAAAGTTTCTCTAGTGTTGTATTCACTGATGGGAGCAGACAAACACCCATAATGCACAAATTTGGGATGCTGATAGGTGAGGGTGCCTGGCACCACAGARAAGGCAGCTCAGAAACGTGCTCAGTGAGAGCCATGTGTGCATGCAGTCACTTGGACACTAGGGAAAACTTTCCCTGGTTTTCAGCCATCCCACACAAGATCTATTAGCAAAAGTCAGCCATTCCCATCTGCTCCCACCTGTGCTGGCTAATGATCATCATCCAGTGCAGTCTATGCAACATTTAATTGCTTTTCTCCATGTATGATATTGGTAATGATACTGGTTGGAAATTTTTTACATTTTTACGTTTACTTCTCTCCCCTCACACCACAGAAATTAGAGGTTACACTGTAGGTTTTCCCCTTCATTGTATTTTTAGCAATGCTGGGAAAAACAGGAAAAACAAAGCCCCAAATTTACTGAACCAGAACAGTAGCATATGGCAGACAATGGATCAAAAAAAGTTTGAAATGCAAGGGACAAACAATAATAATAAAAAAAAAAAGTGACTGCTGAGGACTAATGATAGGCTGTAATCAGAAATGCTTCTCTGGAATTGCCAGGCACCCGGAGCCTGCCCCCATTGTAAGAGAAGACTCTCAATGAGACTGTTGCTAAATTACTGGCTCRATAATTTACACTGCCATCCTGTTGAAGTGGGACAAAAAGTGAGCCTCAATTTATCTGAGTCTTCCCATGTGATGGGGGTCAGGAAGAAATGAGAGAAGTAATTGAATCACTTTGCAAAATCCAGTTCTTATTGAAGTGTATTGCTGAATGTCAAGATGTAGCATGCTGCTAATTTTTTTCTATTTTAACAGGACAAGGAATAAAGCCTTTAAAAACAGGAACAAACTTTATCTGATAGACAGAAAAACCAATACTAAGCAGACCTTCTCCCATTCTCTTGTGTCTCCTGCGGTTCTTTTGTATCAAGCCCGCCACAAAGGTACAGCATGGCTCCTTCAAACTCCCTTCATGGTCATYGTCTGGCTCATCCAGCTGAATTTTAAACTGGGGATTGGTCCAGTATGTTGCTAAGAATTCCTGGTGGGAGACAAAAAGGAGGAGACTTTGCTGTCATTGCAGCCAAAACAGCTGTCACTTGACCTACAGAGAATATCTCTGCGGAAGGACTTTTGCCTGGAGTTTTTCCAGTTCTTTYCATTGAGTTTTATGGGTTTATGTTTTCACAGCTATGCTGAGTATCAATTGGAGCCATGGGAAATCAAAGCACCAGGGCATTTCCTGAGGACTAATGACCAAGAGGGAGGAGCTGATGTTGTTGGTTCCAGCAGTCATTTATCTCTGGGAAATGTCCTTGGCTGAGGCTGTTACTGTTGCAGGAGGACCTGATGCCAGACAGCCTCTCCAGAGGTCTAACCTGAAAATGAATGGGAAATAACAGTGCCACTGAACTGTGACGCTTTCCTGGCCTAYCCAGCCCTTCAGAGGATTACTGCAGGCAGCAGCAAAAGCCATGTAAGGCAGGAAAAGCAGACAGAGGAGAAAAAAAAAAGAATATAGCCACAAATTTACTACKTGGTGGGTGGGTAATCCCCCATGAGGAAATAAGTGTGAATTAGATTTTCATTTAAACTCCCAGGCTTTTGCTTTCTGTGTAAACCCTGCAGAAACCATTGCACCTCCAAGCTCTTCCCTCCCACCAAAGCCCCTCCAGTTCAGTTCACCAGCACTTACTTTTCGAATGTTTTGTTTGGGATTTCACCAAAGGCCCATTTGGCTGGATCCTTACCTTGGTAGTTCTGGCAATCCCCAGCAGTTGAACCCCGTCTCCACCGTCCATGAAACACAGTTAGGTCCCATTTATCGACCTCGCTGTTTGTCAGTGTGTCAGGAGCCAAGCTGCAGATCTCCAGGCGGCTGAACTGCCTTTGGAAATCCGAAAATGCCATCCTGGCACACAAAAAGACCAGGTTAGTCCATCAGCCTGCAACAGATGAGGTGRCTGCAGCTGGACATTTCTCCCAACAGGGCAGCTGACATTGGTACTACAGAGCTGCCCAAAGCTGCATTTAATTGAATTCTGAAACTTGGAACTGGCTTTTGGGAAACTAAATTGCCTGCTGCCCATATGAGTTGCATCTTCTGGAGATAACCTTTGTCAATGGCTGACATACACTATGGGCTCAGTCAAACCATTTCCTGTCGTCCCCAGCTGTGGGCAATCCCTCATGGATGATGCTTCACCAGCAAATTCACTGGAACTGGCGAAACAATATGTGCGAGGAGATTCCACTGAAAGGCAGTAAGAGCTGACCCTTGTGAAAGCATCACTCCAGTGGAAAACAGTCTCAGCTCSGTGTTTTGCTTCAGTCCTATCACTGATGTTTGTTTTGACCATTCCTGGTAGGTTTGCATGAGTGAYAGACCTCGATTGTTTCACACTGCAAGCAGAGGTCTGCTCTCATTTCCCAGTGCCTGATGGCCCGTGCAGCTGATTGCACTGGAGGATGGTGGCCATTTATCTTTCCAGGCTAGGACAGAGTGACATCGGCTCAGCACTGATCCATATATAATCAGATCAGGGTTAGGACAGGCTTTCTATTAGGTCTGAGTAAACAGACTCTTCCCAAGCTGGTAATCTGAACTTTTTCATTAGTGTGTACCATTTAGGCAAAAAAAAAAAAAAATACAAACCTCAAAATGTAGAGCAGCTGAGGTTCATTCTCACCACCTCATTAATTTTATTACCATCTGGTCTCTACATTTTGGATAAGCGCCGAGTTATGCAAGCTCTAATAAAAGGTAATATTTGAATAGGAAGGGAGATAAATAAGAGGCTAACAATGCATGCATGTCATTATTAACCCCTTGGTGCTGGCAGTTTTTCTCCAGCCGATTGAAAGGATTGCTTAAGGCACATAAAATGTCCAAAAGAGAAAGCTAAATGGACAATTCTCACCAAAACTCTCCATCATCTACTTGCTGATCCAGARCTTGTTTTTGTTTGGGATCAACATAATTCCATTCAGGAGCACTGCAGACAAAGCACAAAAGTACACAGTTCAGCGGTTGCATCTTATTCTACAGTGAGATCTGAGTTAGGTTATATCTCAGGTTGATAAAGGATATAATAAAYGATATTATATTCTCCAACAAATAGACCTTGTGCCCCTCCAAATGACAGAACACCCTGCGACCTGACTATGCTGGGCTGGAATCAGACTGCAACCGCATTTGCAACAAATAAGCYTTGAATTGAATCACCCCTGCCAGGTGCCAGAAGACACAAACAGACTGGCTGGATTAGGAAATTCACAGCCTGAAAGTCAGTCAGAGCTTCTCCATTTGAAGACCTATTGGGGTACCTGATATCCTTCCTGGCAAAATTATATACCTCCATTGTTGGGGGTGATGAAAGAACAGGAAAGCAAAAAGGCAGAATTAGAAAATTTACTGCAGAAAACAGCTTTGCTCCCTTGCCATTCTGATATTAATGTGCTCAGGATGGATTCTGCTCTGATCTGCTCCCACTGACAWTGCAGTGCTGCACCTGCCTCAGCAAGGCTGTCCCATGGCAAAACAGGTGTGACAAAACCAGGATATGGCGTGTGTGTGCCTGAGGCACCTCACCTTGGGGCTGCGTGAAGCAGCTCTGATAAAAGTAAAAATAATTGTAATGTTATCTCTATTTTCTTTCCCTCATTATGATACATGAGCACCCAGGCTGCAGTCAGCCAGGACAGAAACTGAAATCTGAAAGTGTTGCAGGAAAAAAACTTATTGTGGCCCAAACGAAAGTAAAATTTATGCCATTCTAAATAGAAAAATAAAAGATGTTTTGTCACTGCCACAATCCCTAGATTCCAAGATAGCTGGAGCCCAGACAGTTTCTGAGAGATTTTCAAACTTCTGTGTCCTTATCTTAGTCAGCATCCCCACTTTTTCGAGATTCTCTGATAGGTTCCAAGTACTGGTCTGATTTAGAGCTGAGCAACCTCAGAGTTGAAGCAGAGGCACAATGGTTTATCCTTGCTTTAACTCCCAGGAACAGGACTGGTTTGTGTATTTTATTGAGGTCCTGGCACCATTGATAGGATAAATTAGGGAAAAGTTGTCTTGCAAAATGCTGTGGGTATGGCTTGCATTGGGCTGCTCAGAGTTAAACCAAGGGCTGCTGTCTCTGATTAGAAAGCTCYGCCTGAGGCAGGTATTAATGCCCACTGGACAGCATGGATCAATATCCAACCTTGGTAATAAATTAATAGTGTTTTATTCCAACTGATTTACTATCTCTCCTAAATGCGCTTTGTGATTGGATTAAATGCTTTGTCCCAATTTTATTTTTCATAGATTCACCATAGATACACCAAAGAGAGAGAAACAGGGACATATAAAAACCTACTTATCACTCCAAGATCCAGTCCATTGTACTTCACCCCAGGGATTTCTAAGCCTCACTAGTTTCTCTGGCTGTCCTCAGCCAAAGATCCACAACAAACAGAGCCTGAGCACTTCCATTACTCCAATCATCACAGGGCAATCGCTTTTCAGRTAGGATAAAACATGATTTGTACTTGAGTGATGCAGCCCTTTACAATTTGCAATAGTTAAAAGACACCTAGATGCCTTGTACCTTTATTTTACGTTATCCTGTGCCACCATGTGAGCCATTCCCTGCAGCAYTCCCCATTTCATGTAATGACAGCAACCTTAAAGGAAAAACATCGGCTGCAAAACAGCAGAATATCTGCATTCTCAAAAGCAGGAAACATTGCACAACACAGCCAGGCTGGAAGGAGATTATCTGGCATGGACATCCTTGTAATGATTCCAGTTTCAGAGGAGTAGGAATGCCTGGGGCTTGCTCTGAAGGTGAAACTAACAGCAGAGTTCATCAAAGAGGCTTTTAGTCTTTTCCCATCAACTCACACGGGCAAGGTACTTGCTCCCACCTCACACAATATAAATGTGTGGGGAACGGCTGCCTCCTGTCCTGCTTTCCTTTCTGTACCCTGAGTTTTGGTAACAGCTTGGCCCACCTTTACACTGGGTACCCCAGCCTCTTGGTACCATACAAGTAGCAGACTGCACAGTGTACTCCGCACAACTCCACATACAGAGCTTCTGACCTGGCTGAGTTCTACAGGCACTTCCTTTTTCTATAAGAGGGTGCATAAGTAAGGAACACTTTTATGGTCAGCCACTGAACATCATCAAAAAGTTGAAACCACTGCAGTGTTGCAACTCTAAGCTGGTTTGCATGATGASCCCAGAGAGTCTGGCTCCTCTGCTCCAGTGATAGAGTAAGCATGTCCTTTTACCAGCTTCAGACTTGTGATTGCTTCTATTTCAGCTGTAGCAGTTATCTGGAGCAATAAAAGTATGCATATTTCTGGTTATRTATTGTGTATGAACTCAGCTTTCATAAGCAAATTAATATGGGGGAAGATATCCAAAGYGGWGTGCACAATGAATACCAATATTCTCGAAGCAAAGTATATTAAATTAAGGTGAGATCCACARCAAAAGCTGCAGTTTCATGCCCCTTAATATGCAGTCCGAGCACAGAAGAAATTCAAGAATGTACAATGAAATCTAAATCCAATTCCCAGCTCAGGTGACAGACCCAGTCACCTGCAAAGACGTGTTCACATGAACTTAGCTCTAGCCTGTCTCACTCAAAATCCAGTMTATCAAAACTGGAACTCTGGTAATTCTATATGCCACAAGGCAAACAAGATAATGAAACAGGATGTGAAAGGTGTGACGTTTCCAAAACRTGTTCAAATATCATCTGTAACTCGAGAATGTTTGTATTACAGGTGTCAGTAATCCTTAGGATGGAAAACCAAAGCCAGAATCCAACTGCAGGCTACAGCAAAGTGTCTCAGCAAGTTTATCTCTGGTAGTCGAGTGCCTGGAGCTGAAATTACACAAAATTTGAATGAGAAAAGACACTCGTAAGGTGAAAATGGAACTCCAGAAGACCAGGACATATTTCATGGCTTTAAGTATGCTGTCTTGMAAATGGGGAGGCATGATGGGAGTTGGTTTTTTAGAGCCTTGTCCAAAGTTTTTGTTACTGAAATCAATAGAGGTCTCACATCAATCACAGTTTGCTTTTAGATCAGACCTTCCTGCCTATATTTAACATTGGTTTGGGCTATTGTCACAGCATGGACCAGAGCCCTGAGAAGGAGCCAGGAGAGTAAAGCTTTGCCAGATCTTACATCAGTGGAGCAGCCGAGCAGYGACCCTGCTCTCAGAGCCTTCTGGATGATCTGGTACAGGTTGGAGGGAGCCCTCCGCAGCTCACACGCTCAGAAATGCCCCCAGTAAARTCCTCAAAGCCCTCCACAGTGGACCCTCCTGCTAGAGCTTCGTAAGAGCCATTCAGCCTGTGGGAGAGAGACGATAAAAGCTGTACAAATGTCCATCTCCACCTGTTAGCACAAGGCACCACAGAAACAAGGGTGTGTCATTCAGGGTGTGTCATTCAGGGTGTACCATTCAGTATCTCTTGGTCTGTGTGGCCATCAGTGTGACCTGGGACACCAGAATTAAAGCCCCTGGGGACAGACAGTAGGCAGCACCCCTTAAGGACCCAGAGGGAACTGGAAATGCTGGCCGGGAAGGAGGCTGCACTARAATGAAGTGTGCTGTGACTGTCACCACAGCCTGGGCCGTCACCCGGCACAGCTCCTGCCCAGCCCTGTATTTGGCATAGGCCTTCTCCAGCAGTGCGCTACAGAACTCGTTGCCTTCCTCCGAGTGCACGAAGGGCAGCCTCCCACTCTTGGTGGGCACCACCACATCCACCACTCCCCATACTGCCAGAACTGAGGCAGAGAAGAAAGGAAAAGATGATGGGGGCTGATGTAACAGCTCCATGCCACCACCCTCCTTACCCTTCACCTGTTGACACCTCCCCCTGCACGAGCCACTGTAGGGTTTGCTTCCATGTTGGATTCCTCCCCTTTGTAATAGAGRCAAACTCCTCCCAGCTCTATGGAGCATTTAGCAGGCTTCTTAATGCTATATTAAATTTTGCTGAAAGGAAATACTAACAGCATCTCATTGCACATAACATCAAAAGCACTATCTGTATGTGTAAACTGAGTTTACATGGTGGATAGCCCAGAAAGCCAACCTGGATGTAGAATACGCTGAACTATCTCAGGGCTCAAACCTTAAGAAAAAAAAAAAAAACAAAAAAACAACCAATGCCCCTGTAAAAATGCTTCAAGGAGAGGTCATCTAAAGGGGAAGCACTCAATAGTGTTAATGCCTTCTGAAAATACTAGGAAATGTGTGAAACATTGCTAGTACTAAATTTTGGCCTCAAAGCTAGAATGTTTACTCCAGGATTTGCTGCATTCCTGAAAGGAGAGACCATAATCCACAGTGTAATACTCCAAGGTGACCTGGTGGAAGGGGCAGGCATGTGTTCTAAAACTTCTCACCAGAACAGCTCCTTCAAATTTGCAGGGTGAATACACATTGCTCCCACCTGAGCCTAACGTCCAGTCAAAGCAGGCTGGCTAAATCCCAGCACTCTGGGTCCCCAGGCAAGGAAATAAAGRCAAAGCAGGGAMGGAAGGGGAGGAAGGAGAAGGAACCATACTGGCCTGAATTCACTCTCAATAGCTGGCAGCAACAAGAGCTTGGTTTGGGCTCACATGGCCCGATGGTTGTGCTCAGTCTACCAAATCTGTAAAACTCCCTAGAGTCCCATCAGCTGTAAGGCATTAGAACCTCAGCAGTCAGGAGGTCTCATTTAACATTATTTAACTCAGTTCTTTTCTTTCTCTCTCCCCATCAATTTCACATACACACTGTAATTGTTGAATATTTCACTTGTTCCAAACARCAAAAAAAATAAGCTGCTTGAATTAAATACTAGCATTTTTTTTTCTTTTATTCTCAATCCCCTGATCGTATAAGTACCTGGAAATGAAAGATTCCAGCATAATCCTTCTGGAAACTCTGAGCCTTGGGAACAACACGGAACAGAATATCTGGATTCAAAGTGAGGGATGCAATGGCAGCTAGGAGCCAGCAATCACCTGAAAACACACATTACAAGGCAGAAAAGTTCATTAATAACTCCATTAAGTCACACTCTCACAAAATGCCAGCAGTAAGAGCTATGCAAGGTCYTGCCAGATTCAGTATTGGTTCAGCAATCAGTTCTTGTTCTGTTATTTCTCTCTTTTGYTCATTTTCCACTCACCCAAACCACACAGGTGTCTTGGGGCCTCTGAGGCTGGCCATGGTGGTAATTTCAATGGTCTGGTTTGTGCTCTGATTTTTTAATGAAGCTGTGAAAACAGGCTGCTTTACCTAAGCTTGTTAATGCCCTCAGGAGACCAAGAATACAGCCAGAAGGACAAGGCATTTGGGCTATGTGGCTTGCAAAGCACGGCTGGGCAGGACAGAGTCAATGACCTGCAGTACTTTAACTAGACTCAAGCCACCACATCTGGGGCAGACAAGGACTTAGGAGACAGCCAGAAGAAGGCAAAGCAAGATGGTGGGACTTCCATTCCTATCTCTTGAAGAAGATTCAGTGGACAGCAGGAACATTTGGGGGGCTGTTCCTCCTTAGGCCTTTCTTTGAAGGTCTGAACTTGAACCGTCACCATTGCTGGGGATTTGCCCAGCAGTCTGAGGGAAGCTGAAGCCTCCCAGCACCTTTGTGAGGAGGTGAGTCCTTTCTTTGGCCTGTTCCTCATTTTGGAAAGGCTGGGCTTTCCCAGCCCTCCCTGGAGGTTGTGTGCCTTGCAGCTGGAGTTGTTTGCTGTGCCTTGGGGGCTGGGTAAGCAGGAGTCTCTCTCACACTGAGGGTGGTGCCCTGGGAMACTCGGTGACTCTTGGTGTTTGCACACTGCCAACAGCAGGAAGAACTTCTGTGATTCTGTTTTATTTCTGAGGTGTGCAGAAAGCCTAGGAAAACAACACTGCTCTGAAGGTACTAACATTTTCCTGGTTCCCTGAGGATTATCTGTGCCAAGACATAGCTCCTTTATGMCAGTGCATATTCTGCAGAAGACATTGGCACCGCAGCTCTTGCTTCAGAGGAAACAAGCTAACTGAGAAATCAAGGGAAGAGATTAATCTGCAGCAAGATTGAATATCCTAGAGCAGCAGTTAAATCTTGACATTGAGTTGGGCTTTATGATTTAGTGCCATGCTGAATACAACTGTAAAAACAGGATGCATGGACTTGGCAGGCACTCTCTGCTGCCTGCACCCCTCCAGGAGGTGCCCAGACACCTCCTATGAGCTGGTCTGAGTTAGACAGGTGGTGATTTGAGAAACCCCTGGTGTGATGATCTGTAACCACCTGAGCTGGCTGATGGATCCAAGACCATCATCTACCCATTTTACCAGGCCAGGCCTTTCTAAAGAGGAGGGAAAACCTAATATTAGTATGTGAGCTGCTGCTTGAGCCTTCCGCCAGTGTTGCGCTGCCTCCTCTTGGCTGCCACATTCAGGAAAGAGCATTCAGGCTGGAAGGGGGCAAAAGAATGGTTGGATTGCCTGCTTCTCCCCCATCCACCTCCATTTCTTATGAGAAAAGCTTAAAAGAATTTGTCCTGCTCATCCTACACAAGTGAAGTTTGAAGAGGAAGTGTGAGGCAGGTTAAATGCTACTTTGCAGAAAAGCTGTTTGAGGCAAGAGCTCTTAGTTGAAAGATACAATTTCCTTTGCAGAGAAGAAGATAAAAGGATTGTGACATGTTTAAAGTGGAAGTAGGGAAAAGTTGATGCTCTGCATATAGAAAARAGAGTCTGGAATATTCAGACTATAGAACAATTATGAGCAAAAACCTGCTAAGGAGGGATCAACTTGCTGGCCTGGAAGTTTCCTCCCAGCCTTGGGTACTTATGTATAAAATCAGAAAAATTATAAGAGCAATTATATGAGGAAAAAAGGTTTTAAGAACCTCGTCTCCCAAGGAAATGTAGATGCAGGAAAAAAATGAGACTGAGAACACTCAGATCTGCTTTGTATCTATTTCTTTAAGGCTTTCCTTGTTAAAGTGCATGCCTTAAGCTGTTAGAATTTCTGTTTTCCTTGAAGAGGGAGAAATAATGGTCMTAAGTGTGGGGAATGGATTTTCAGAGGAGGAAGATGAAAAGCCTTATCAACTTAGAACTGAAATACCCATTTTTCAGATGCTCTGGCTGTTCCTGGCTTGCTGCAAAGTGCAGAGGTTTATTTCTGAGAAGGTGGCAAGGTGGGGGTCCCTGATGTCCCTCTTGAGTCCCTCCACCCCTGTGAGATCAGAGAAGGCCTGCAGCAGTGACAAGTTGGTGCTCTCCCCATGTGCAACACCTGGAAAAAATTCTCCCCTTCCCAGTCCTGGCCAGGATTTTACAGCCAGTGAWGAAGAAACCACTCCAGGCTTTGCTAAGCACAGTGGATGTTGGATGCACAATTAGGCAGAAGATTCAGTGAAATGAGGGGGGTTTCTTTAAATACATTGTTTACTTCCCCACCTCAGAAGTAAACAATTTCAGAATCTCAGCCCAGATAATGCCAAATGCAGCATGAAATCCTTTAAGGTGCCTTTTCTCACARCATGAATTAACTTCTCAGTGTCTGGGAGAGTGAGCGACGTGAGTGTCTCTGACTGTCTCCAGCACACAGATGCAGTCTGACCTCCCAGGGAAGCATTTCAGGGCAAATCACACCTGGAAAGAATCACATTGGAAGAATTGCARTGGTGAACTTGGCCTTAGAAGCAGCCATGCCTGCCTTGAGCACTGCAGAGTCCTATCTCCAAGCCTCACTTTCTGGGGCTGAACATCCTTGACTAAGCTCGTGCCAGCCAAAAGGAACCAGCTGGGAATTGGCTATTGCACTTGATAAAAATGGAAGTGTGGCTGAATGAAGATGGTTTGGGAGCATCTTTATGTAGCAGAGATACAGGACATTCAAGCTCCTGGGATATTTAYTTTCAGAGTATTTAGGAATCTGTCCATATCAAGGATCTTCCATGATGGGGCCTGAACTGCAACATTGGCCTCTTCCCTTCTTGTACACCACAGTGTAATGGGCAGGGATCCCAGCCCATTAACAAGCCTTCTCAGCCCTACTGGATAACACATGCATAGTTCTAAAAAAGTACAGATTGACAGTTCCTGTTCCCTTTTTCAAAGTTTAACATCATTTTGCCAGCAAGAAGTTTTAGAGTTGAGTTTGTGGTTGTGCCTACAGGACACTGCAACAGCACGAGCTCCCCAGAAAGGCACCTTGTGTAGGACCACTCAAACTTGTTCTGATTCAGCTGCAGATTATAAGAAATCTGTGAGGAAACTGTGAGGAAACTAATTAATTCTCTTCCTAAAATGGGATTTTTTTTTTTTTGAGGGAGAGAATAGGAGACGAATTGGCCAGTTAATTAATTATTTAGAATGTATTTCCAGTAGACATATAGTCAGAAAATATTAAAAAACATTCCTGTTCACCAGATGTGTTTAAAGTTGCAGCATTTTGGCTTGTAAAAATAATTCTCTTTTTTTAAAAAAAAAAAACCTTTTCAACATGAGCCCTGCAAGGTTAAGTCATCTATGAACACATAATGCTGCTTCTGTTTAGTCTCATATTTCATGAACAGAGGYTTCAGACAAGTGCCAGTAATGGTGTTTACTGCTGCTGCTGAATGTCCTGAGAAGAAGCCAGCTTGATTCCTGGATCTGAAGTAATTTTAAAAGGTAGTAAAGCGAAATTTTCTTTTTTTAATTTTTTTTTTTTATTTAAGCAATTCTGACCTTGAGTTTGTGGTGGAAAGGGTAAACATGAAGGCTGGCTGTGCCTAACTCCTGTGTGCGTGTGTGTGTGTGTGTGTGTGTGTGTGTGTGTGTGTGTGTATACATATACATACATACACATACACGCGTGATCTTGGAGAATTACCTTGATGTCCGTGCACTTGCAATCAAATCCTTTGCTGCTCACAGATGTCCTGAGTTGGCTCATGTTCTCAGTGCTACCCAGGCAGCTCCTGGTTTACAGAGATAATCGAATTGCTGCAGTGAACAAGGAATCCTCAGTGACCTGGGTGCTCAGCGGGTCCTCTGTATTGATGATGTTTACCCAAGCATGCTCCACTTGCAGAGGCYATAAAATAAATGAGAAATTTGATTAGTTTCAGTCGCTCCAAAGCTGTGCTCAGTTTCTGTTTAGCTACCATCAAAGTGTCTAGACAYAGAGCAGCTAAACTCTCCTTTGACCTAGAGATGGTGAGTTTCAGCCAAAAGTCCAAGTGTGTGGTTCCAGGATGCAACTGGAGAGCAGAGAGGCATTTCTGTCCCGACTGTGCTCTGGCTTGTTGCTGTTTCAGCAGTGCCTGGTGCCCACAAAGGATCCCAATGCAATGCTGTGCCTCTTGCTCCCTGGATTGCCAGGCAGCTCCCTCTCTGAACTTTAGTCTCTGCWGGAAGCYCTYGTTCAGAGCTCRKAGCACCTGGGGCMTCACAGCAGACATCAAGRAAGMACTGACCCACAAGCTTACCACTTAYGGCAGTGCAGGCTGCCACTGCTTTGGGATTTCTAAAGACTTTCTGAAGTTTTCTATGGAAATTAATTATGTTCTGTGTACAGAAAGCCAGAGGAGAGTCCTGCCAAGGAGTAGTCTTTCTTCTCTTTGGGGTCTCAGAGTTGTTGGTGAATGTATTTTTTGACACCTACGGGATATATTAGCTAGAATAAGGATCTCCAATATCCCTCARCCCGTGGGATTGAACATCAGAAGGGCCATATATTAATGTCTACAGCAAAATAAGTGAACAAACCCAGTACTACTGAGTTCTCTCCCTCCTACAGCCACTTCAAAGGCTCCCTCAACAGGTATYAGATCTCTCTCAGAGCTGTCAGGCTTGGGTTTGCTCTCCAGGATCCCTGTAATCTCCCCAAACCTGCCTGTAGGACAAGACATGCACAAAGCACACGTGGGGTGGGCTCCAGGGCTGGTGTGAGCTGGTGCCTTCGCCTTGGCTTCAGGGAGCTCCTGCAGCTGCCAGCGCAGGCTCGGGGAGCTGCCGTGCCTGGAGTGGCCTCTGGGCGCTCAGAACAAAAGGCAACCCATGAATATAAATAGCGTGGAGCTGGAAAGCTAATATTAAACTGAGGGGGTTCCAGCGTGTTTTATATTATTTAAATTAAATTTATGCCACTTACTTCTTAAGAACTTCTGCAAACAGTCCTCGGGTTAACTTATTCAGATAGCTGCAAGAAAACTTCATAAGTCACCTTTAATAACTAAGACTATGTGACTACATTTCAAGTTGTTACTAGGCTATCAAAAAGATATGGTTCAAAGAACGTTTAAAACATTCAAGTCTTTCAAGTCCCCATCAAACTTCCCAAGCTGATACTCATCTAGCTTACGCTGTTGTCAAAGAAATAAGTTTAATGGAGCAAGACCAACTCTGGGTTTTCTTTTTCCTTTTGTTCCTTTAAACCCAGACCTGCAGTGTTATTTTTAAAAGAAAAKGAACATGTCAGAGAATATTATTAAAAATAGGCTGTATTTCCCTAAAGGACTTGTTACCCAGTCACATACGTGGCTGATSTAAATATGTAATCAGGGTCTGTTTCAATACAAGTGTTTTACATGAGGGTTTTAGTAAGGAGGACTTTGATATTCAAGGTATTGGATCAAATACCAAAAGATCTTATTATGCCCCAGAGATGTAAAGCAAATACCTGAAGGCTAGAAGGTAAGTCCCATGCCTGCAGTTTATTTTTGTGAAGGGTCAGTGTATGTAGAAGCAATTGTAAGCAGCCTTGCAGGAAAATATAGGATTATCTTTCATTATTTTCTCTTTTTCTTTTGAGAGAGTGCAAGAAAATCAAGCTCTTAATAGAGGAATCAGATTTTGGGGCTTTTCTTCTAGGTTTGGGATAACTTTCAGCCCTTAGGTTACAGCCCACCAAAAGCTGTCTTGGGAAAACCCAGAGCAAGGCACCATCCCCAGATTCACGRGAGATTTTGGGGTCCAGTTCTGTTGTTACCACTATGTGACAGATTTTGGCACTGATCTCTAATGAAGCCCATTTAGCACAAGGGACTGGGGCCCTATGGAAACATCCAGCAGGTGACAGAAATAGAAAAGGGCTCAGGGTATTTGCATTCAGTTTCTAGGCTAAACGCAAACAATGCACTGGCGTCTCTTCTAGTTTAAGAACAGATACTATTTCTCAGTGCTATAGCTTGTAAACTGTCAAGGAAAATGAGGTTTTATTTCAGGTGTATGTTCTTAATTTTTTTTTATGCTATTATAGAAACTTTCCAAATAGGAGGTGACAAGAATTGTCACTTTTACTACTTATTTGAGCCATTCTCCTGAAAAACAGTAAGTGATTTCCCCATACTCTGTTGCAGCATCCACCAAATAAATATCCTGGAACAAGTATACGATTGGGCATCTTATTTTTAGCATTTGGAGTACAGGCCCACACACCAGGGAATTTTCTAGCAATTGCTTTAATAGCGCTATGTTTACAAGAGCAGCACTGGTGTTATTTATCGCCAACGACTCGCAGAAATTGTTTCAATCTCATTTGCACAATGGATGTGCTGGAAGACCAGTGAGGTCAGGAGCACTGCAGTTAGCGGCACAGGAAGGAGAAAGGCTGATTTCTCTGTGTCTAATCTATCAAATTCTCATTACAAGAGTCTCAGCCTTCTCGCCTCTCTGTGCAGTCAGGAGAGGTTGCTGCTGCTGTCCTCTGCAGCTGGATCTTATCAGAGACAGGCAGGAAAGGCAGCGGCTGCAGCAGCAGCTACTCCAGGCAGAATAACGTCCCCTTGCAGTCCCCTTCTGGACCCTTTCACAGCAGCCCTGTTTAGCCAAAGGCAAGCACTGCAGGAAAGTGGGAAAGGAAGGGTTTTTATGACAGATGTCTGGGAGAGGATGAGTGCTGCCTGAGCGATATCTCCTCTGATCAGGCCCTGATACRGGGAACTGAGCAGCGCTGCCTTTTTGGTCTGTGCTTGCACAACGTGGCTGGCCCCTGGCTGCTCCTGTCCCTGCTCACAGCTCCACATGAAATGTTGCTCAGGCAGAAAGAAGCATTCAGCATGAAGGGTTGGGAACAATTTGTTTGTTGTGGGTGGTATTACAAAGTTTACATGTTCTGTTAATTTTTTAATGATGTGTTTTCAACTCATGCTTGGACCATCTCACTTGACACAAAATGGTACCTCATAGACCCAGCCCCTTCTAAACCAGTTCCTGCTCTGTTCCTTGGTTGTGGTGCATTTGTTTTGTGTGAAACTGAGGATGGAATTTGCTCTGCCTTTCAAATAAAAATCCCAAAGGACTAGGCTACAGCAGAAAACTTCCCTGGTGTCCCTTGTCTTTGGAGCTGCTTTTGCTGGTATGGGCAGGAATTCCACTCTCGCCTCAAGGCAAATGCTCTCATGATTAGGTTGCTATCCACCTTCATTGTAAGAGGTCAAATGCAAACCAGTTTTCTGCTCCACAGGATTACTTCCTTCCTGCAGGAGAAAGTTTGGTGTCTTCCAATTTTGACGCAGCTCTTACAAGCCCACATATACCCTGTGTCAGGCCGGGATGTGAGTCCTCTTCCTGTGCATCTGCCTCTCCATACTGTATCTGGGAAACAGCTAATTAAACGGTCCATGTATCAGGAGTTTTTAAATTAAGCTTCATTTCTTTTTCTTCTTCCAAAACAAAATTCAGAAGCATTGTACATACCCAGCTCTCCTTGGCAGACATCTGTTCGGGTAGCTCCTCCAATTATAAACTGAGGGCTGGCACATAACTCCTGAAAAAAAACATAATTTCAAATTTTGCATCATCCTTTGTGGTCTGAAAAGTTCCTTTTTCTAGTTCCTCATTTCAGTATTCAAAAACTAYTAAACACTTTCAACATTTCTTTAAAACATGTCCTTTCTCTTCTGTCTGATAGACATGGTCCCAGGATAACATTTCCTTATTAAACTGAGGACTGCATGCAATTTTGGGTTTTTTTAAGGCAAATCTTGATACCCTTTGCTACTAGGCACWGTCAGTGATACTACTGAAAATTTTTGCTGCTGTGGAGACAGAGGTGRAAATCTACCTTAGCATTTACTTCTCACTTTATCTTCCTGAGATTTTGATTCAAGCAGCACAGACGAGTTTGTGACTGTGGCTGCTGCCTGTGCCACTGGAACTGYGCTGAGTTTCCAGTGCCAACGGTGWGGAGGATGTTCCCCCACCCTGATCCTGCTTCCTGAGAGGCCAACCACATGAATGCTTTTATGAGCAACAACCCCCCCTTTCTTCCTGGCCCTTTGGGGCCGGCCAAGTAGGTTATGGCAATGACTGTCACTCCTATCCCAACTCTGARCCCTCCAACAACTCATGGCCTCTATTAGGAAGTTATTATTGTCTCTAGAGACAAAAGCCTTTTCTGTTTTTCTGAGACTTTTCCAGGAGCTCCTGGATGGCAGCGGGAGCAGTTTATAGGAAGCCTAACTTGGCAACCAGGGTTAAGGACAGTTTAGGGCAGTCACCAGCTGTCCCTGAGAGCAGCAGTTGTCAGCTCCAAGCATCCTGTGGAGAGGCAGGGACAACACAGGACTTCCTGTGTGCATGTGTGTGCTGCAGGGCCAGCTTCTGAATCTCCGCTTGCACTCTCGCAAGAGGAGTCATCTCAGCTACGTCACTTTTACTTCTGTCCAGAAGATAATGGTCCAAAAGTTGGTTACCCTCCACACAGGAAAAGGTTTTGTGTCTTTTTGTCTTCTCCCTCCAAAGCAGTGCTAGTGAGCTGTATATGACATTACTCACCCAGACACCTGTCCTTCCTGAGCCATTCCCAGGTGCCACGTGCTCCTTTCACACAGCTGAGATTCCCCTCAGCGGCCCCACATGGGCTGGGACATTCAACCCTGCTGGATCTCAGCCCTCAGTTATTCCTTACTCTGCTCTGCTTGTGTCTCTGCCTGCAGCTCAACATTGTTCTTGTGTGAGAAACCCAAGTCCAATTTAACTTTAACCTAAGTCTTTTCTAAGTCTAATCTTCTCCAAGGATAGGCAAAGCCAAGAGACACATCCGTGATCCATGTTGAGGTAACATCCAGAGGTGCCAGAGTGAKGTCTTGATGGACAAATGGGGTTGCCAGGGTTATTAGACCTGGAGTTACTACACRTGTAAATTTCTATTTCTTACTTTTCAGGTGAAAAAACAATAAAACCCAAAGTCTTAAAATTTTCTGTTCTTCTCATAATCCTTTCCTTCATCAGATGGAGGTAGTAATTTGTGGAGGGCTTTTTTCCCTAATTTTTAAAGTATTTTTGATGTGGCAAAATAACAAAGGAGAAGCAAAGTAGGAACAGAAATAAAYGACTGAGAAATGAGAGTGCAGAAAAATCTCTGAAGCCCTGATTTTGTGACTGAAAAAAAAAAATCTGATCTTTCCTGATGAAAATTACCTTCTTCAAATCAGAGGCTGTTTCTAGGATATATGTATTCAGGTGATAGCATTTCCAGTCAGCTCCTATTTAACTGCTACAGGAAGCTTGAAGCRAGGCATTTTATTTCGGCATTAGCCTGATTTCCTGAGGTACAGCGGCGAGACCTTGGTGTGGTCACAATCGACAGCCAACAGCTCCCGGGGTGCTCCATGGTCTGTCTGGATACACACAGGGCTTTTGCAGCCACCTCTGGATTGCACCCTGGACTTGTAGCTCTGTGGAGCTGGGATGGACAGGGAGGAAGCAGGTTCCCGTGAAGCAGTTAKAGGATTCCCTGTGTTTTCCCTGCCCACTTTCCAACCTTTCTTCTGCCAGCCGTGGAGTAAAGCAAGATAGAATTAAGAAACAAGACATACAGAAACAGTGGATATTCAGGCTCACCACTGATTTAGCGTGGATGTTCATCCGGACTTTGGTGAGATTTGAACCCAGTGAAATCAGTTGTTACAGAGCACTCTTACCATGGGACGCTTCCAGACTGAAGYGTTTTCATCCCTTGAGTTTTGAAGGAAAATGGTCCCAGATCCCAGTAGCCCAGAGCAGAAGGACAGGCTGGGAATTCTTCATGCTTGAGCAGTGTGCCAGTCTGCAGGCACTGCTGCCTCAGGGCTTCATAGTCCTGTTTCCAGCACTTGATGGCATTCCTGTTGGACCCGCCCACCTGATGCCGCTCTTTCTTGGCTGAGGCTCACGGCGACCCTGGCCATGCTGCCCCCTCCCAGCGCCTGCTGCAGCTCTGCCTTTGCCTGATGGGTGAGAGGAGGTGAGGATGGGCAGGCAGCAGGCTCGGGTGGGCCCAAGGACTGCYCTAAATGCTCCAGCAGCCCTGAAGGGAGGAGGCAGCAGGAGAGCAAATATGTACCCAGGAGAGGGGCGGGACCCACCATCACCGTGACTGGGATTATGGGCGCTGCCYGCTGCTACTCCCGTAGGGCTTTTTTGCTTTTTTTGTTGCCCCTTTTTAAAATACTCTTTTAGCAAGAGGCCAAGGAGAGCTTTTCCAAAACACATCTTTTCACACATGGAATGAGACTCTGTGCATTACATATGCTGAAAGTCAGGTTTAAAGATCAGTCCTYTAAAAATCCACATGAAGAGGGCTCAGAACTCCTTTGCTCCTTCTGAGATCAGGCTCGGTGCTGTTGGAGGGTTGTGCAGCCACAAAACCTGGAGTTGGATATCTATTTCCATTGCTTACATGGCTATGGAGATTCACCAGCAATAAAATGCGTGGACTAGACAGAGGTAGAGCTGGCCACTTGCAAAGGGCAAGGATACAATCCAGGAGCATGAACTAAGTCCAAAATGGTAAATTGTTTCACCAGACAGGAGGGAAGCTGGTAAGCTCTGCTACCCCTCTCCAGCATCACCTTGGGCAGAAGTCATTAAAACATCAATAAAAATGGGGCCTTGCCTCAGTTAGCGAGAAGTTACCCATCATATTTACAGTCTTCTGGTGGTGTTTTCTGCATATAAAATATTTACATGCAGAAAGCCTTGGGTGCAAAAACACTTTATAGACCTTAGGTTCCTGTTCTTGTAGGAGAAAAACTCCATTTCTACCTGGCAACCCCATTTTGTACTGACACAGGGGTGCACACCTCCCTGGCAAGGTGCCTGCAAGTGTCTGTAGGCTCAATAAATGAAGGAGGAAATATTTTCCGTGGAGCACAGCTGCTCTCTGCTGTCATCCTGTGTAATGGCTAGGATTCCCCAGCAAAGCCCTCAGCGTGTCTGGCTAAAAGCTGGGTAAACAGTAACTGTGTTTGCCAAGCAGCGTKTTCGATGACTACCTCTTGGTAAAGTTGAAAAGAAGGTGTGGGGAAGGGAAGAGAGAATTTTTAAGGATTGAAACCTGGTGAGATAAGGAGTCCAAACAGGGGCTAGCCTGGTTGCTTGTCTGCAAATATTTGAAGAGAGTGAATGCAAARGAGGAAACAAAATGATTTGGTGAGTTGCAGGTAGTGAAGGCTGGGCTGAGGGAATTWGTATATCAGTTACCCCAAAATTAAACTAATACTGTTGAAATTGAGTAAAGGAAAAGGATGGCCAGCATTTYATCCCTGTTACATTTCAGTACTTCCAGGTATGTCTGTGTACTGAACCAGAGTGAGGAATGGAGTAATAAAGAGTTGAGGGGAGGGGTTTTTTTTCCTGCCAAATAGACCCTCTCAGGGGTATCCCCTTTCTTTGTTCATAAGACAGAATAGCACTTTCTTTCCCATCTTGCACCAGTGCCTTGTGCTGAAATTGCTCTCTTCCTGTGGTATAGAGGAACACTCCCACTTTGCTGTGATTGCTGTAAACTGCAATTTTGGCAGTGCTGTTCATGGAAAAGCATGGTGCTCCAGCAAATGGAAAAGGCCATTTGAACGCAAATATTTTGTTTTCCACTACTTTTTCAGACATATACCTGAAATGCTGTGTGCTCTAACTCCATTGCCGCTAGGTGTGAGTGGGCACTGCAGAGGTGAACCCTTGGGYATCACCAGAGTGTAATAGGGTAAGACAGAGGAAACGTAGGAGCACCTCTCCTTGGAGACAGGCTGAGAGAACTGGGGTTGTTCAGACTGGAGAATGAAAGGCTCCRGGGAGACCTTAGAGCACCTWCCAGACCCTAAAGAAAGYTACAAAATAGCTAGAGAGGGAATTYATASASGGTTTGTAGTGATAAGACAAGCGGGAATGTGTCTTCAAACTGACAGAGRGGAGTTTTAGATTAAAAATTAGGTAGAAATTCTTCACTATAAGGATGGTGAGRCTCTGGCACATTTCCCAGAGAGGTTGTGGATTTCCCATCCCTGGAATTGTTCAAGGCTGGGTTGGAYTGGCCTTTGGGCAACCTGTTCTAGTRAAAGGTGTCCCTGCCCATGATAGGGGGGTTGGAACAAGATAAYATTTAGARTCCCTTCCAACACAAACCATTCTATAATTCTAGAAAACACAATCAGATTTTATTGAATTTCAGTTTCYACGTTTGGAAAGAGGCTGAGTACAACCCTTTTCTGTGGGGGAGGCTTGGATCATGCAACCACCAGTGTGTCCACCACAACCATTTCCTTCCAGTGATCTGTAGCACAGCGCTTCAAATCTATTTTCCAAGCTTGATTAGAAGCAGCGCGACTTATTTTTGTGTAGAAAGTGATACAGAAGCACCACCTAGAGGATATAAAAGAGATGATGACTGCGTAGTTGACTACAGCAATCGCTGACATTTGTATTGTAGGAGGGAAAGATTTCAGGTTTCCCAAAAACTGCTGCTGTAGTGACATTAACCCCTAGGGTAATAGTCATAGTAATTATTCTAATTTTTGTTGCTTCTGGGATTTGCATGGTTTTGCCAGGCTCTTCCTGCTTTCCTTTCCCCTCTCCCCCTCTCTTGATGATGGCAAGAGGGTGAAAGGGATAGGGAAGAACCAATTAAACCAGGAAAATGCATCACCTGGGTTTCAAAGAAGAGACTGAAAATTTCATGCCATCAAGACTGTTCTGTATCTGAGGAAACCTTTAGAAGAAAATACCTGCCAATTATCCAGTAGTTCCAGATACATTTTTGACATGGTGCATTAGAGAGAAATGAGGGCTCTCCTGTACCACAGAATTTTGCTAATGAGGATTAAATCTGCTTCACTGTATTGTAGACCCTGCAGCATGAAAACAAATTAGTTTGACTCTGAGAGCTTGCCTTCTTCTATTCTAGCTGTATGGGCTCCCACCCACCATATTACCATGAAAATGGAGTGACTATCAATAGGAAGACTATTGGAAGCTATGGAAGTTCCTAAATGTTTGTCTGTAAGATTATAGTTTTAGAGGTTGCAATACTTCACCTAAGTGTTTGGGGAGCAAAGGGCTGCTACAAGTTGCAGCCTAGCAGGTTCCTTATAGGAAAACACATACGTAATTAGCCCTGATCCTGCTTTGTTGTTCTATAAAAGCCAGAAAATTGTTGATGCCAAAGGCACAGGAAGATGATATCCTGCAGAGGTAATGCCTGCACCCCGTGTGTAAAGCTCCACAACACGAATTAGGCTGATCCAGGAATGATGGTTCAGTGGTGGGGAAGAAGCTGGGAAGGTCAGCTGCATTTGGAGGATGACCCAGGTGTTTCTGACACCTCACCCTGCACTGGCGAGGGCTGCAGTCAGCCCTGTGATGCTGGGGAATGCTCTGTGCCTCTCCAGATCCCAGTTCCAGACAGGAAAGCAATTCCCTTCCTCGCAAAACATCACTGCTAATTTTGCAAGCCTCCTTCCCTAGGAAACCTCCCTCATCCTAGAAAGGACAGGACAGTTCCTGGGAAGGAGAACAGGAGCCCAGCAGGTGCATGGGCCCATTCCTCCCTTCCTGAGCTGTCGGCCAGTTGTTCCCTATTGTTCCTCAGTATCTGTGTACGATGAAAGGGCAGATGAGCAAGAGGGAGCAAGTGTGAGGCAGAGAAGTTCTGAGTTACTCACACTTGCTGAGTGTGGAATTAAGGAAGGACATGCCCACCCTGCCTGAAACTCCATGCTGTGAATGGCAGCGGGATGCTCCTTATCAGGRACCAGAATGAGCTGTTGCAGCAACAGCTGAAACCACTCACTTGCAAAATGTGAGAGTCRGTGRYTTCAAAGAGCTGCAGGTGTGCAGGGAGATTAWGCAAAAGTCGGATTTCTTTTTCCTTCTGAAGTTGCCTGGTTTTAGGGAGATGCAATAGGCTAACTATTGTTTGGACTGCTACTTTTGCCTAAGAGCATTACRCTGGTCTCACAATCAAATGGAAATCACCTCTTTCTTTGAAGAAAATGGGTGTATTATGTGAGTGTGTGGAAAATCAAGGAACTGCCTCACGTAGTGCTCAAAAGAACTTCGTTCCTTCTAACTGTGGACTCCTATCCATATCAGCTGCTGGGCTGGAAGTAGAAGTAGTTGACTTGTCACCTTACCTCACTGCAGGGGATTTTGAGGGCAGGCTGTTCGGGTGGCTGCTGGGACAGCCAGTTTCCCATATAATAAGGGAAATTCTGCATTAAACCAATATATCCTTGCCTGTCATTAAACCACTTGGGACAGTACAGTCCCTGTAAGTTTGGAACCACTCTATAAAGCCTGGGAGGCAAATATATTCCTTCCCTGCATTGCCCCAGGTACCTCTCCCACTGCTCAATTGAATCCTTGCTGGTTTCATTTCTTTCTGTCTTTGTTCCTTTCTGTTCCTCTCCTCTGTTTGGCTCACTCTCAACCCTCATTGCACCTCAGAGACTTTAAGAAAACTCTGGTAGCTCTGACTGAGCAGAGCAGCCACATAACATCCTTGMACACGCTTGGACTTGGTCGCTGTCCAGCAGAGGCTGTCAGCTGCCAGCAGAGCCCARAGTGGTCTGAGTATCATCTGYGRGGCACAGGGGAGATGACCAAGGAAAGCAAAGTAATTCTATGACAAATTTTCAACCCAGCTTAAACTTCTGCMTCTGCTGGAAAATGGCCWGASYAGAGGACTTCAYAAACCAAAGCTGGTTTTGTGGGYTAGTGAAAACYATTGCTTTGAACTGACACTGGCTTYCTTTAACCCTGACTCTKGAAAAAACAGAGAAGTCTGACCTGTGGCAGCTGTACAGATTTGAACCACTGAGCAGAGCCAAAGAAATGCTTTTTGAGCAGCTCTACAGCTCCCAGATATGTCATGTTAGGATGCAACACAGTCCACTGTGAGTTAAACTCCCAG